GTGGCTATCTCCTATGAGGAGTGCTTTCCAATTTTCCCTTTTTCTCCTTGTATCTCCCTAGTGCATGCACACACTCTCTAGCTAACTTCTAAAAATAAAAACAAAAACACTCTATTTTGCCTGATTGATTTACGTCTCAAAATTCAGCTGAAGTACCAGCTCACGAGACGTTTTCTGAAGCTGAAACTACAAGTTTTCCCCTACTACCCAGTATCTTGTTTGTCCTTAGGCGCAGAAGCCTGATTTTGAGCTGTGCACATGGTTGGCCTGGAGTGAAAACCATGATTCCCAGAATTTCTCACAGCTAGGTGTAACTATGTGACTAAGCGTGGCCAACAGCGTGTAGGCCAAGTGTTTTGTGCAACTTGCAGGAACTGTCTTGTCGTTGTTGTTGAATTTGCCAAAAGGTACGCGTACATGCTGGAGAGACAGAGAGGGAAAGTGAGAAAGCAGCCCCCATGGGGGTAGTCATGCTACAATCCCTTCTCCATTTCTCCTGCCTTTTGGGATTTGGGGCACACACACTCACTTGCCTGGTGTGTTTTTCAAGTCGCTGGGTCTGGGATGTAAACTGCACAGTCAGCCCTGTGGGATCCAGCCACCTTAACTATCACTGGCTGGTCCCCAAACTGCTTTTAAAAGGAGAGTGCACCATTTTTGAGCCCTTTCCCGTTTGGGCTACAATGCAGACATGATGGCTAGAGCTTGAGCAGACATATTGAACTATGTGATAGATGCATGATGTTAAGAATAGTAGAGGAGGGGCCAACGGGTGGCATGGTAGATAAGGTGCTGGACTCCCACATGACTGACAATGGTTCGAATCTTGGACCTGGGGGCTTGCTTTCTCACTTTCCATCTCTCTCTGGTCAAATTGAAACATAACAATAATAATAATAAATGAAATTAAGTTAAACATTTCAAGAAGAAAAAATAGTGGAGGATTTAAAATTTAAAAAGTAAATAAAATAAAATTAAATAAAAAAGAATTTTTTTTTTTTATTTTGAATTTTGACCACAGAGGGACAGAGAGAGAGAGAAAGAGAGAGAGAGAGGAGGGAAATGAAAAAGCAAGCCACCAGGTTTGGGACTTGAACCGCAGTTGGCCATGTGGGAGTCTAGCGCCCTTAACCACCATGTCACCTGTGGACCCCAGCAAAAATAATTCTTTAAAAGAAAAAAATGAATAGCAGAGGGTGGTAGAGCAATAAGACAGAAAGCACTGGGGCTCTGATAGTCATGGACCCCCGTACTAGCTCTGAACTTGTTACCTCAAGACATCTGACTGGGTGTCATGACTGTGATTTGGGGTTTCTGTCAACCACAGTCAAACCTAAGCCTAACTGATGCACGCTCCTTGGACCCGCGCTCTCCTCCTCTGTCCTCTCAGCTCTCTCTGCAACCATGTCTGGCTAATTGATGGTTATATCTGCTCACTAGACTGTAAGCTTACACGGCCATGCCATCTTCCAAGCGTAGTGTCTAACGAACCAAAAAATGTTAGCTTTATGAACAAAGGTACGAAATATCCACTCAGGCCTCCAGACTTGGGTGGAGCTTCAAACTTGAGTGATTAGTGTTAATATGGTCATTGGAGCAGTGGGAGAGGGTAGGGTAAAAAGACGACTGAAAAAAGAATTCCTAGAATAAGGCTGGGGAAAAGCCCCAAAGCTGGCAAGAACCAGAGCAAAGGCTGCAAAGCAGGAGACCTCAGAGATCACATGCGATTACATGGTTTTCTCCAGCAGCTCACAGCAACTTGGGACAGGAGCAGAGAAAGAAATGATTTGGGCCTGACTCAGGATGAGAGCAGAGGGAGAGGTTGCCAGAGAAATACGAGCCCTGTGGGAGGAAAGATGAAATGAAACTAGGCAGGGCTGTTCGGGTGGGAGGCGATGGAGGAGTGGAAAGACGGAGGTCCTGATGGGGTTGAAACACGTGATGTGATGTGAGTGTGCTGCAGAAAACCTGATGTTTTCCAGGGTGCAGGCCACACCATGCCTGGGATAAAAAGTCACTGCTATGGTCCGAAGGTATCCCTCCAACATTCATGTGTTGCAATTTAGCCAAATTGTGAAGTTATAAAGAGGAGACCTGGGGCCAACAGGTGGCATGGTGGTTAAGGCGCTGGATCCCACACCCACACGGCAGACGGCATGGTTTGTGTCCCAGACCCGGCAGCTTGAGAAACACTCTGGGCACATGTGCGTGCATGCCCCAAATCCCGAGAGAATGAAGGAGACAGGATTGTGGCATGGCCAGCCCCTCTGAGGGCTGATTTCTCACTTTCTCTCTCCTTCTCTGTCTTCAACAAGTACAAGTACGGTATAACAAACTAAAAAAAATAAAATAAAAAATAAGATCTCAGTGGAGACGACCCTCATCAACGCTAATACCCACTGAGGACACTACAGCCGGTAACACTCAAAGGGACAGATGTGACTGCGGGTGCCTCCCTGTGTCCACACTGCGGCCACCACAGCCCAAGATCAAGAGCTCTGGTGTTGAGGGAAGCAGTGGTCAAGGGCTCAGGGTTCTGGAATCCGGAGATATGAGTTGCCATCCTGGCTCTGTGTCTTTGGGCAAGTTAATGAAACTTCTCTGAGCCTTGGTTTCCTTATTTGCAGAAGGGAAAATGCTAATGAACCTACCCCATGAGGCTGCTGTAAGGTTAAAATGAGAAAATGCATGTATGGACGCCACTTAACCTGGTGCCCAGCAGAGTGAGCAGTTGACAAACGTGGGTGATTATGACTTTTGTGATTATAGTCTTCATATTCGTGAACTCACTTAACAAACGAGCTCCAGGCATTTCTCCACATGTGCCTAATGCGTCAGCCGAAGTGTATTTCCTGATATTTTCCAACACTGAATGTGTTCCTTCACCCCTCTCTGGTTTTGCATATGTGGATTGGTCTGCGTGGCTTGCCCTTCACTCCCGTCTGACTGGCAAACTTGCCCTTCAAGCTTCAGGTACTGCCTGGTCTCCTGGTATTTTCCTGGATTTTCCAGGCTGGGTCAGATGCCTCCCCTGGGCTCTCACATGATCATGTCTCATTGCACAACTCCAGGGGGCACCAGCCGTATGGACCCTCAGAATTGTGCAATGTGGCAACTTCGCCTGTATCTCTCCTGTTTCCCTCTATCATGTTTTTCTTTATCACAGTCTTACTGTAATGATTTATTTACCTGTTGGTCTGTTCCTCAGACTCTGAACTCTTCAAGGACTCTGCCTGACACAGTCAGGGTTCGGTGAATGCGCATGTGAATTAAGGGATCCTGGCCTAGTTCCTGCATGCCAGAGGCTTCCAGGCTGGGGAGACAGAATGAGCCAACCTGAAGCATGCCAAGAAATGAGGATGGTCAGGGGTCCGCAGCCCTGAGGTTCCCCGGGACAGACAGCTGTGAGGGACGATGCCACCCTCAGATAGAAAGGACGAAGATGTCCTTGGAAAAACCTAGTGCCTACACTTCTAGATTGCTCTGCTTAGGCCTGAGAAAGATCCCAACTTCCACTCCATGATCTGGTCTAAAGTAAAGAAAGTAATTGTTTCAAAGCTCTTACAGTGACAAGATGCCTCCAAGGGGGAGACTGATAAGTTGATGCTCTTTATCAACCCCCTGTTCATTTTTTCAAAACTTTTTATGCAAAATAGGTAGGGGCATGGCCTGGAAGCTGAGATGTAACCAAAGGATTTGACATTGCCCTAAAAAATAATTTGAGTGGGCCAACTGTTGGCATGGTGGTTAAGGTGGCTGGATCTCATGTGGCCAACTGTGGTCCAAGTTCCAGATCTGGCAGCTTGAGAAACACATGCGCATGTGTGCACATGCCCAAAAACCCAAGAGGAGAATGAGGAGAAGGGATTGTGGTGAGGCCATACCTCCTGGTGGGTGATTTAAATCTCTCTCTCTCTGTTTCTCCCTGGCAAGAATACGCACTGTATAACAAAATTAAAAAAGATAATAGTGATTTGAGCATTAGCCCCACTGTACTCAAGGACCAGATACTAGGGCCCTTAGGAAAGTATTTCTCTTCTTTAATATGGATTCATTTTATTTTAGGTGTGTGTGCTCACCAGAGAGAGACAAAGAGAAGGAAGGAGAAAAAAGTGGCCATTTTCCCCTGGGAAATGGCCATGCTACAATCTCTTCTCCCTTCTCTTGAATTTTGGGCATGCACGCACACACGCCAAGTGTGATTTTCAAGTTAATGGGGTCCAGGACTTGAACTTGTCACCCCTGTGGGAATCCAGCACCTTAACCACCACACCAACTGGTGGCCTCTATTTTATTTCTTAAAAGTGTGTTTATCTGGTCTATGAATGAAAGACAGAAAGAGATAATAGTACCTCTCGCAGGGCCCTAATGCCACAACCCACCCTCAGCCTCAGCCAGCCCAGACCATGGGCACACTCAGGTCTCCAAACATAAACCAGCACCCTTCCCATGTGAATCAGCCCCACAGAGTGCCACTTTTACTGCTGTGCCACCCACGGCCCCCTTCAACATGGACTTATGCTGCGTTGTGGCTGAGAATAAACACAGGGACATGTGTGTATTTGATCTGCACTTAACCACCCACTGTTAGGCCTACTGGCTCCAAAAGGACAAGTCTGAACAATGAGGAGGAGTCGTAGCTTGCCACTTCTTATTGCTAGAAAGACTTTAAAGGGGTAGGACCTTGAGGATCAAAATTGCCAAGCCCACTCTAGGCGGTTTGGCTGAAGTCTGTTTCCTGCAACCTTCCATCCTCCCGCTGCGATACTATTTTAGACTGAGTAACTCAGACTTTGGGAAGTGTTCTATGAAGTGCTCCTTATCCTGTTGATCTCGACCCATGTGGCTTAGGGGGTGTGGTTTCCTGCACAGAGCCTGATGGAGACTGTGCCAGGTGGAGAACTAAAAAGGTGGTCTCTTTCTTTGAGTAGGGAAGGAGGATCTGAGACAGGAGAATAAAGTTGGGAACTGAGTGTACCCATTAGGGAACATCCTGTGAAAACGTTTAACGGGTATTGGCTGTATTTCCCCTTGGGCAGTTATGTGACATGCACAATTCAAAGTTATTTCTTCTCCTTGCGTTTCCCCACAGGAAGTCTCGCTTGATCAGTGAAGTCTGCTGCATAGTCCCGGGGTGGCCTGCAGAGGGTGACATCGAGGAAACAGTGTCATGGGTAAGCATGGTCCACAGTGCAGTTGCAGAGGAATCCCACTGGGCAGGAGGTTTGGGAGCAGGCGTGGGAGCAAGAGGGGGATTGAGATGCAGAGCAGTCAGTGGTAAGGAAAGGGACTGTGGGGGAAAGTGGCAGGGCTCAGGCAAAGGCTCAGGGGAAGCAGGCAAAGCCTCTTCGGGGCAGTGGGAGCTTCAAATTCAACTCCTTGCTGGAACGCAATGTGGGCAAAGCCCTGGGGAGTGGGGCAGGGTGATAGGGATGGGAGCTCTTCAGACTCAGGCCCAGGCCCAGACGCTGCCTCACTCCTGGGCTGCCCACAGGAAGCCAAGCTGTGGGTGGCATGCTGCTGTTGGAAAGGTCCTTGATAACAAGCAGGGCAGACTCCAGCTGCCTGAGACTTTGCCACTTGCCACGTGCCACGTGCCACCTGCCCTACCCTTCAGTTCCCACTTCTTCCTGGTGGCCAGGAAAGTCCTCGGGAAGCTTAAAGAAGCCTACTTCACTTCTGCCCTCTCTCCTAGGAGAGAGCAAAACTGTAAGTCTCCAGGAAGAGGAGGGGGTGAAGAGAGAGACTCAGGAAGTTGCTGCTTTCTTTCAGTGACTACCCCACGACATAAGCCTAGAGTTCTGGGGACAGAGACCACAGATTACTGCTTAAGATCTAGAATCCAGCCCAGCCTCAAAGTCCATCATGGAACCTAGACCCAGAGCCCACAGCCCAGAGTTCAAAATCCATTCCAGTACTCATAACACAGCCCAGAGTCTAGAACCCAAGCCTAAACTCGAGTCCAAAGTCCAGCCCAGAATGCACAACTAAAGCCGAGAGCCCAGAATCCAGACAGCAGAACTCAAAGCATGAGTAACTCTGGATTCAAAGTTCAGCTAGGGCCCCAGAACTTAGAGCAAAGCCCAGGAGCTATGCCCCAGCTCACAGACCCAGAGTCTGGAGGGCCTAAAACTAAGCCCAATGTCTAGGGCCCAGAATGGCCCAAAGTCCAACTCAGAATCCACACCAAAGTCTAGAACACAGACCCTATCTTAGCTCCAGAACCAGAGCCCACCCAAATAGTCATGGTGGCCTAGAACCTTCCACTCAGCCAACAGCCTAGCAGTCCTTGATGTTCCTCCTTGGTGTATTTGCGGAGGAAGAGGGTCAAGGTTGTGAGCTGTGGGGTGGGGTAGGGCAGGGTGGGGTGGGGGGTTCAGTTCCAGATCCCAGTCCTGCTTTGGCAGGAGACAAGGAGCTGGTATGTGTGTGTGTGTGTGTGTGTGTGTGCACATGCGCACGTGCACGCATGCACATGCGTGGTGGGGTGTTCACAGCCCTGGTCTGGAGGGTCCAGCCTGGGGATTGAGAAACCAGGCAAAATACGGCCTGGGGCTTTCTCTGCGAGGGGCAGAGTCCTGCTGCTGCTGACTCGCTATGCGTCCTTGGTCTGCTTCCCTTCCCTTCTCTGGTCTTACTTCCCCCAGAAAGGAACCAGGAAGTGTTTTAATAGACCCCAAAACCTGTTACATATAGCCCCTTCATTCTTTTGTTCGTTTATCCATAAGCACTTACTCAACACATATATAATAATAGGTCAATTTCATTTATTTATTTGAGAGATTTTTGCTCTAGAAGGCGTGTGCTCACTAGAGAGACAGAGAAAGAATGTGAGAAATCACCCCCCGGGAGGATGGCCAGGCTGCAATCCCTTCTCCATTCTCCTCTCGGGACCTTGGGCACACATGTATACACACTTGGCGTGAGTGAGGCTTAAAGCCTCCAGGCCCAGGACTAAAACCACTGTCGACTGTGTGGGAGTCCAGTGACATAACCATTATGCCATCTGCTGATCCCAATAATAGGCCAATTTTAAAGGGGGTGGGGAGAGGAAGGGAGATAAGGTTTTTTTTTTTTAAGAATTATTTTATTTAACTTTCTTTCTTTTAATTTGCCCAGAGATAGAGTGAAAGAGAGAGAGAAAGCATGCTGCTAGGTCTGGGACTCGAACCATGATCGGCCACATGGGAGTCCAGTGCCTTTAACCACCATGACACCTGCTGTCCCCAGCTTTTAAAAGAAATTTTTTTTTGGAGAGGTTTTTGCTATAGGGCATATGTGCTCGCCAGAAAGAAAGACAGAAAGCGAGAAATCACTCTTCGGGGGGGATGACCATGCCATAATCCCTTCTCCTCCATTCTCCTCTCAGGATCTTGGGCATGCACGCACACACGCCTGACGTGAGTTTAAGCCACAAGGTCCGGGACTCAAACCGTGGTTGGCTATGTGGGAGTCCAGTGACATAGCCATTACGCCAACTGCTGGTCCCTTTTTAAAACTTTTTTTAAATTTATTTTTTAGTGAATCTGATTGTTGGAGATTGGATCATAAGAGACCGGTTAGGTATTGCTAACAAGAGAGATGGGATGACGGTTCGAGGAGGGCAAGTGGTAGTGTCATCTTTGTAAAGTGCAGATGTGTTATGCTACTCTTCTGCTCAGGATCCTTTCATTTTCTTCTTCTTTTTTAAAATTGCCAAGGGGCATGTGTACTTGCCAGAGAGTGAGAGACAAAGAACGAGACAGAGAGAGGAAGGGGGATAAAGGGCCTTTGCACTGCAGTCCCTTCTCTTCCATATCTTCCTCTGTTGGTATCTGAGGCCACACACATGCCCGACATGTTTTTCAAGCCACTGGGACCAGGATTCAAGCCAAGGTTGGCCATGTGGGATCGGCTCCCTTAACACTAGGCCACTGGGCTGACCCTCAGAATCCTTTCAAAGGCTCTCTACTGTCTTCAGATAGAGGATGCAAGGCTTCCTTCCATCTTCTCGACCTACGGTTTCCCATCCAGCAAGTCCTGCCATCCTCCGCCACACCTCCGTGTCTGTGGTGTCCCCGTCGTCTGTGTGCCCTGCCTGTCTCAGTAATTCCTTCTCATCTCAGGGCTTGGTTCCACATCATCTCCTCAGTAATGCCTTTGGAGACCTCTAGCCCGCTAACAGAATCCGGTGTTCTCAATTCTGTACACTCAGACAGATTCCCATCAGGCCTTAGACAAATCGTTTGTACCATCCTTCCTGTGTTGATCTCCATGACTAGATGTGACTCCCTCCAAGGACGAGTTTATCCACGCCCAGTTCTCCTCTGTGCTGCTGGGTGCATCCAGAAAAAGCTCAGTGAGAGCACCAACAAGGCCCTTTTATACTGCCAAGTATTCCTGTGTGATTTTTTTTTCTCCCTCAGAGCTTCTGTGTTTTAAATTTTTAATCTCAGACCATGATAAGAAATTTGTTTTCTTGGGGCCAACAGGTGGCGTGGTGGTTAAGGGCGCTGCACTCCCACATGGCTGACTGTGGTTTGAGTCCCAGACCTGGCAGCGTGCTTTCTAACTTTCCTTTCTCTCTCTGTCTCTCTCTGGTCAACTTCAATAAAATAAAAAAGAAAGAAAGAAAATAATGACAATGAATAAAATTAAATTAAATCATTCTTTAAAAAACTAATTATTGAGAAATTTGTTTTCTCATTGTCTTTCTTTTCTTTTTTTGTTAAAGAGAGATTTTTCCTGCAGGGCTTTTGTGCTTGCCAGAGAGACAGAAAGCGAGAAATCATCCCCCCAGGAGGTATGGGTACATCACAATCCCTTCTCCTCCATTCTCCTTTCTGGACTTTGGGCATGCATGCAGCGTGAATTTCAAGTCACCAGGTCAAGGACTCAAACCACAGTTGACTACATGTGAGTCCAGCGACAAAACTATTACGTCACCTGCTGGTCCATCTTTTCTTTTTTTTCTTTTCTTTTCTTTTTTTTTTTTTTTAAGAGAGAGATGGGGGACCAGCAGGTGGAGTGGTGGTTAAGGTGCTGGATATTCCCATATGGCCAATAGCAGTTCGAGTCCTGGATTTGGCGGCTTGCTTTCCCACTTTTCCTCTGCGCGCTCTCTCTCTCTCTCTTTCTTTCTCCGGTCAAATTAAAATAAATAAATGAATAAATAAAATTGAATAAATAATTCTTTAAAAAAAAAACAGAGAGCGAGATGGGTTTTGCTATATTGCTAGGCTGACTTCGAACTTGTGATCCTCCTACCTCAGCCTCCCAAGAAGCTGAGGCTACAGACTTCCCATTGACTACTTTCTTTTTTTTTTTTAAGAGGTTTTTGCTATAGGGCGCCAGACAGACAGAGAGAGACAGAGAGACAGAAAGCAAGAAATCACCCCCCAGGGGGGATGGCCACGCCCCAATCCCTTCTCCTCCATTCTTCTCTCAGGATCTTGGGCACGCACGCACACACACCCCGCATGAGTTTAAGCCACCAGGTCCGGGACACGAACCGCGGTCAACTACATGGAAGTCCAGCGACATAGCCATTATGCTAACTGCTGGTCCCCCCCATTGACTACTAATCAAAGACATGTATACTGCCAATCAGAGGGAAATAGAAAAGGAAAGAAAAGAAGTGAATATTTGGTTTTTTGTTTTTGTTTTTTGAGAGTTTTTTTTTTTTTCCGCTATAGGGTGTGTGCACTCGCCAGACAGACAGAGAGAGACAGAGAGATAGAAAGCGAGAAATCACCCCCCAGGGGGATGGTCACGCCGCAATCCCTTCTCCTCCATTCTCCTCTCGGGATCTTGGGTACGCACGCACACGCACCCGGCATGAGGTTTAAGCTACTGAGTCCGGGACGCGAACCGCAGTCGACTACGTGGGAGTCCAGCGACATAGCCATTACGCTAACTGCTGGTTCCCAAGAAGTGAACATTTGTTGACAGCCAGCTCTAAAGTGCAGGGACACACTGTCTCCCTGGATCCTGGGATAACACTAAGAGGTATTATTACAGATAGGATCAGTGAATTAAACTACCCGCCCTATTTTGCTAGAGGGCATGTGCACACACCAGAGGGACACACAGAGAAAGCACCCCCTAATGGGGCGTGGGCATGCCACTCTACCTTCTTCTCCATTTCTCTAACCTTTGGGAATTTGGGGCATGTATGCACATATGCCTGGTATGT